TGCGTGGGGAGGTCGTAGTTTTTCAGGCGTCTTAAGCATGTCGGGCCGCGGGAAGCAGGGAGGCAAAGTCCGAGCTAAGGCCAAGTCACGCTCGTCGCGGGCCGGGCTGCAGTTCCCCGTGGGCCGCGTGCACCGGCTGCTGCGCAAGGGCAACTACGCGGAGCGGGTGGGCGCCGGCGCCCCGGTGTACCTGGCGGCCGTGCTGGAGTACCTGACGGCCGAGATCCTGGAGCTGGCGGGCAACGCGGCCCGCGACAACAAGAAGACGCGCATCATCCCCCGCCACCTGCAGCTGGCCATCCGCAACGACGAGGAGCTCAACAAGCTGCTGGGCAAGGTGACCATCGCGCAGGGCGGCGTGCTGCCCAACATCCAGGCCGTGCTGCTGCCCAAGAAGACCGACAGCCACAAGGCTAAAGCCAAGTGAACACAATGGAGAAGCGGCACGCTGTCTCTTCCGAAGAAGATAACCCAAAGGCTCTTTTCAGAGCCACCCACAAAATCATAAGAGAGCTCAGTTATCCGTACTATAGTTACGCCGTTTTATATGAATTACTCAACCCGTGTTTTGTCTTATTTTCTCCATGTTTATTAACAGTATTTTTGGCTTGATAGTAGTAGCAACGCTTTCCATGTTTTTGTTAACACAAAGTCGTGCCAAAACGTCTTCCCAATGCAAGTTCTTCCTGGCTTGGAACATTTTCCGTTTAGTTCTTAAGCCAGAGACCACAGGAACAGGGTATTTCGGCGAGAGCTCCCGTCGAGCCCCCCCCCCCCCCCCCCCCCCCTTCCGCGTTTGTCTTCTCCGAGAGTGGCTGAAACAGCACCAGAGATACGAGGCGAAGGGGGGCAAGGGGCAGCGGGCCGGGCTCTCCGCTGGCCAATCCTTGGTCAGGGCGGGCTTTTTCAATACTTAAAGCTCCTTTTCTTTCTTATCGGGAACAAAAGGAATGGGAGAGCTCAGGGCTATTTTCGGGTCAGTAAGGAAACCCTCCCCTCCTCCCCCAAATAGAGAAAAACATTTAAGGAGACATCTTGAGAGAAATAATACACTAGATTAAACATGGCTCAGTAGTAGCGTGCCTGACAACTGCATTACTTTTGTTACAAAATATATTCTTAAAAAAAGTACATCGATTTTTATCAAATCATTACTATAAAACATTGCTTCCTGGTAGTCAAACCAATTACTCGGCAAAAAGATGTAAAAGTCTACACTTCCCTAAAGCCGCCGCGTTATACCGTGCTCGTTAGCGTTTCTTTCGGTAATCGTAGGGGAAAAAAGGGCACAATTGACCTCTGACGACTTACGAATTACTGGATCCTTGCTGGGGGTTACTGACGACCTCGGCGCCTCAGCTCCTTTAGGGAAAGTGTGGGTGGCTCTTAAAAGAGCCGTTGGATAACAAAATAGGTAGAGCAGAACTCTTCTGGTATAATTTACTTCTTCTTGGGTGCCGCCTTCTTCGCCTTGGCCGCTTTCGGCTTGGCCGCCTTGGGCTTGGCTGCTTTGGGCTTCACCGCCTTCGCCTTGGCCGGGCTCTTCGCTGCTTTCTTGGGACGGCCTGCCTTGGGCGCTTTCTTGGGGCTCTTGGCCGCTTTCTTGGCCGCGGCGGCCGCCGGCTTCTTTGCTTTCTTGGGGCTTT